TGTCTTAATTCTGTATTTTGTATCTTTTTTTCTAGGTATGAAAGCTCATGGTTAGTTTGGACTCTTCGTACTAGCTAGTGTACTTTCTATGATTAACAACAAAGCACTTTTGTAAGTCGCTCTGCATAAAAGTGTCGGCTAAATGCTGTAAATGGATATTATGGTGCTAACAGCTTTAAAAAGCAAAATAACAACTGTGGAAACATCTGACAGCACTTCCTTGGCTCAGCCATTCTGGAGGAAGCAAAATGCATACTCTTATGTGCCTTTTAGGTAAACATCTCATAATGTTTGAAGTTAGTTTGCCAGTGAAGTTAGCAAAGTTAGCTGCTTGGCTCAGAGCTACACACTGCCAGCCAACTATATTTGTGAAAGAGTATTTCACTCATACACTCACTTAAACCCTTGTTTCAGCTTATAATGACTACTGGATATAATTGGGCTGGGAGGAAAGTCATTCACAAAAATACATTATCAAATATAATCAAACATTTTAATTTGCAAGGCATAGTCTCATCATAGTCTCACAATACTTCTGCTTATCGTGTCTGGTGCATTTTGTCCCTTAACAATAACCATCTTCTTTGACAGGAAAGGGCCGTTGAACCAACAATCAAAATAACCAACCACAGACTATTGTTTCTGAAATTGTTCAAAACTAATGTTAAGGGATAATGCCAATGCAATATGTTAAATAAAAAGCATGTGCAAGTGTTGATGTTCATAACTCATATTTCACTACAATTTTCCTTTCATTTTCACCACCTTCTTGTGCGTTTTTCATTTTTGCTTAATACCATGATGCTGTGAAACTGTAACATTTTTGACTGTGTTAAACCACCCCTAATCTATAGAACCCATATTTCTTTTTACAGTTTATCAAAATAATCAGATGATGTCTGCAGCACTGATTATCAATAAATATATCCCAATAATAAATATAAGTGAGTATATCTCAACATGTATATTTCATTTGACTAAACAAACAAACAAACCACAAACAACCCAAAAAGAAAATCTGTAATGCCCTCAGGTCTATAGAGCCCAAACAGAGCCATTATTTGTTTGTGCATCACCATAATCAGATGATGCCCTCAATACTGAAATCTGGCAGCTAATGCATGCTAACATTAAGTGGGGGGAATAATCTATTGCAAAATCTATATTGAAGTCTAGTCAGGCCAGACATGAGTGAGAGCCATGGCCTTTTAAGCGCTATTGACTTAAAGAGCACACTACTATTACTATCATGTCTTCCTCTTAGAAAAATACATATATATATATATTTGATAGTGCAGTCTCCATGTCACTCAATAAAGAAAGGAGCCAGAGGGCTGAGGGATTGATGGGAATGTGCAGTACGAGCAGTAATGAAATGATGCAGCCCTCTCTCGTACAGGCCATACAGATATTAGTGCATGATGCAACTGACCTTGCTCTCCAGCATTTCCTCGTACCCCTGCCAATGGACTGTTGGCCACAGAGTGACCCAAACAAGGAAAGGATAGACTGGCAATGAGGAATCACAGTAAGATTCTGGGTGTTTGATTATTAATTTAATTCTGAATGTTAGCTAATAAGGGCGGCACGGTGGCACAGTGGGTAGCGCTGTCGCCTCACAGCAAGAATGCCCTGGGTTCAATTCCCAGCCGGGCGACCGGGGTCATTTCTGTGAGGAGTTTGCACGTTCTCCCCGTGTCTGCGTGGGTTTCCTCTGGGTACTCCGGTTTCCTCCCACAGTCCAAAGACGATTGGACATGCTAAAATTGCCCCTAGGTGTGAGTGTGTGTCTGTCTGTCTGCCCTGCGATGGACTGGCGACCTGTCCAGGGTGTATCCTACTTTCTGCCCAATGACAGCTGGGATAGGCTCCAGCACCGCACCGTGACCCCGAAGGATAAGTGGTTTAGATGATGTATGTATGTATGTTAGCTAATAAATATATGGTCAATTTAAGGATAATTAAGGTTGCTAAATGGTTATTGGCTTGAATGTACAGTTTAAGAGAAAACATTAAATTGCTGTACAACCTTTAACAAATAATTTCCTAGTGATGCCACAGCCATCCACAACCGGTGTAATGGTGAAAATGGTTGATGCTGTCAAGGTTGATGCATACACAGAAGTATGTGCATGCGCAGTGGACGCTCGTCTTTGCAGTGGTACAGCTAAACATGCTGTGTTTAGGCTGGAGAGGAAGACAATGCACTGTGGAAAGACTTTAGCTAGCTGACATGGAAACAAAAAAGACCACTTGATTAACTTCTTTAGGTACTGTTAACATTCTGAATGGTGATCATAACATTACTTTGTCAGTCAGTTGTCCAACTGCACAAAGGAAGCAGAGAGAGGAGTACATTTCTAACATGATTGATTGTTTTTATAATGCAAAATGCCTCTGTCATTCAAAAGTGAAGTTAGTTCTTTTAGCCACTATTGTTAAATCAGTAGATGAGCTAATGCTAGAGCTAACAGTTTAACATTAGATGAGAGGCAGTCGTCATCTTCACCAAAAAGTAAACTACCTTCTGCTCCATGAATAATGTGAAAGCATGTTGGCCTGTCAAAGTTATATTGAGAACAGTTTTCTAACGTCAGCTATCATTGTTAGCTTAGCTGAAAACAGCTGGAAAAAGCTGTGGCTTATCCTGATGTAATGCTTGGTTTAGTGCTGGTTTAGCTGGTCACTTAGCATGGTAAGAAAACCTCGTATCTCCATTTTTGTCTTTATTATTCAGTTATTGACATACTTTGAAAATGCCTGTTAGCCTTTACATTGTGTGTAAATTTCATGACTTGGAAAAAAGTCTGGTTCCATTGACTTACATTGAAAGTAAAGTAGTAGAGATATTAGGTTTTCCTCCGACAACAGCAATATGCTGGTCTGTGTTGTTTTTTCTAGCAGCGTTGAGATTTCTCAGTTGTGTCTGTGGCATGTTAAGGCACTTGTGTTGCTAGACTAAACTTTTGCATGGCATCAACTTTTTCTTGCATCTGATTTTAATATTAACAGTTCTACATGTGAGATGCTGACACTGTGAGAGGTTTTTAGTACTGGCCCTCCCTATTCACCATCACTCAGTAGCAATGTTAGCCAATGCAGGCATCTTGTTAGCTGGCATAACAGAACTGGCAGTTAGCTTTCTCCTCCTAAGTGTGCTGAGATGTCCAAGTGAAAGGATACAGTGATGCTTCACATGGAAAGAAGCACATGCCAATCTTCACCTACCCAGCTTGTTAGCATTGTGTGCTAGGGGGCGACCTAGCTGAAAAGTTTGTTAGGGAACAAAAGGTGTTTTTTCTATGGCATCGATCCAAAGAAACTTTTATGGCATCTTTGTTTTTCAGAGTGCTGCGTAGAATTTAAAAAAAAAAAAAAGTTATAAGGCAGTCTGAACAGTGAGATTCACAGGATTCTAGTTTTTAGTACTGCTGTCTCAAGAATCTAAAAAACTTAGTCTGGAATTCATAACAAGGACATTGCTTCAAATAGAGGCCTTTCATGAGTGTTTTGGGAAAAAGAAAACGTGCAAAAAATGAATTTTTTCAAGACAAAACTGAGCAAATGAATTCTTGTATGTCTGATCAGTGGCTCAGTGAGTAAAGTAACAGCTCTTACAAAGTCTTTTAGAATCTTTTATTGAGTCAGGGCTGTTTATGGCCTTTCACAGAATTCAGTCAATATGTTATTGCAAATACACAGTAACGCTAATACATGCTGGTCAGCAGAAGGCAGGACGGCTGAGCCCCACACACACACATGCCGTACCGAGCCGCTGACCTCTTGTGTGTCACCACATCCACATCTGTCATTTTACACAAATGAGTTCCTGCAGCGCCGCCCGCTTCAGCCTCGCAGAATTAACATCAGGAAAGTACTGGGGGAAAGCGTGCTAAATTTGAGCACACGGACTGAATATGCATTGGGAAATTACGTCGCTCACCACCCTGCCAAATATTACGATCATTTATTTTTTCTCCTATCCCCTCCCAACTGTGGGTGTCCTGGCACATTATTAGTGGTTAATCATGAGGCCTATAAAAGGCATAACCAACATGGCCGCTCATAGACCAGTCCCAATCAGAGCAATAGGGAGAGAGCTGATTGCTCATTAGTTCTATTAGTGGCCTGGATCCTCAGGTTTCAGTCTGTTCCAACAGACCATGTCCCTTTAATGACTTAAATACTATCTGCTGGGAGAGGACAGAGCAGCCCCGCGAACACTCACCCATTGCTGGACACACATACAAGATTTGTGATGTTGGCCCTGCACTGCATTCCAACTGGCAGAGTTTACAATATCCTGGGCTGAGGAAATTAAAAGGGACACCATCTTTATCTCTCCAGTCCTTTAACTCCTTTAACAGCATACAAAATATGAATAAACCAAATTTATTTACCGTGTAAGATCAAAAGGTTTAGCAATCTGCTTGACCACATGAAAGCAAAGATGCATTTGCAAGTAAAATCTGGCAACCACAAGCAAAGTATTTCGAGAGAACAACTCAACAAACATAAGAAGATGCCATCACTATGATATCTTTTCATTAAAGGGCTAGTATATGGGATCCAATACAATAAACAACAAACGGTGTGGAAGGCTGAGCTGTTTTAAAGGGGAATTCCATTTTAATGGCATGTGGTACTATTATTTCATTGGTAGCACTTTATTGGAAAACTACTTACATCATGAAATTCAAAAAGTAATACTGATGTCAATACAAAGTCATTTACTTTATCTTTGGAAAACTGACATAATATGTTCATAAAAATTCATCATGTTTTCAATATGTTATCAATGCTTATGCATGTGTTAGGAAGTCTATATTCATATGTACATATATACATTTTGACCTCTGTAGATTAGTGTACTTTTGACATAATTTCATTCATGTTGTAGTTTGTATAATTTGGCAAATGTATGATTGAAGTTCTAATTAGTTTGAAATGTTAATTTCATGATCCTTCTTAAGAAAAATGTTTAAAAAACAAACCCTTACCTCAGCATTGCATGCACTGCATCTCAGTCTATCTTCACTTCCAAGTCCCTGCAATACAGAGAGAAAAGTTTACCAAGGCCTCTGCACTGATACTGCATTTAGTGCCTCTTTTAAGTGCCTTTGGCCTCCTAAGCAGGAGAGCCCACAATTATGTCCACATGATCACGCAACAGTGGAGATATACATCATTTACAACAGCAAAAATAAAGGCTACATCATTTACGCTTCAGTCCTACTTTATGCTCTGCATATAATTCAGCAATAGGCCACCACACGCACAAGCTAATAGAAAAAGCTTGTGTGGTCCATAAAACAAGATACAACTAAAATTAATTACCTAAATAATTAAGGGCCTCATAGTATAAATGTTACGCATTAGCAATTAGCCGGATTTATCCCTGTAAATGCTGGACAGCGTAATGGAAAGACATGCAAGGAGAGAGTGAGAGAGTGAGAGAGAGTTACAGAGAGAGAGAGAGAGAGAGAGAGAGAGAGAGAGGGAAACACAATCGCCAGATCCGGAGCTTATATGCATGACATGTGGGAGCTCATTTTGATAGATGTTAATGGCATATAATTATAGAACAGTGCTATTAAGCGATGTGATTTTACAAGAGGCCCGTGGCCCCCGGAGCAGTGGCCTGATTGCTGAGAGTGTGTTTGCCTAATGAATGGAAATGCATGTATGTTTGCAGTGATGGGAATGATCAAGCCATGAGAGAGAAAAAGGAGGGGAAAGAAAGAAAGAAAGAAAGAAAGAAAGAAAGAAAGAAAGAATTCACAGAAGGTGAGAGAGAAAAGAAAGAAAGAAAGAAAGAAAGAAAGAAAGAAGAAAGAAAGAAAGATTCACAGAAGGTGAGATAGAAAGAAAGAAAGAAAGAAAGAAAGAAGGAAAAAGAATTCACAGAAGATGAGAAAGAGAGAGAAGAAAGAAAGAATGACAGAAAGAAAGAACGATAATGAAAGAGAAACAACTCAAAAAACTCCGAACTCAGAAGTTTATTTTTTTTAAATGATTAATTGATTTTAATAAAACATAATTTAGGGTTTAAGACAAATATATAAAATAAATACATATCAAATCCAACTTTATTTACTTTATTTATTAAAATTATATCACACTCTTCAATTGTTTAAATCTTCATGTATTTTTTATGACGTGTCATGTTATTGTGTCTTTATAAAGGAAACTTAAAGAAATACGAAGGTCTGATAGTCTGTGCTGTATCTTAACTCAATATCTCTCAATATAATAAACTGAATGCAGAGGTCATTTAGCTGAAGGATCACTGCAGTGATGTAATGTTTATTGAATCCAACATATAAAACTACTTTATCTTAACAAGCAGGTCTTTGAAAAATCTTCAACATTGTTTAGCTGAGGCCACATCTCGGAGGGTAGCTCAGGCTAAATTTAGTTAGTTGTTAGCATTTTACAGACTGCTCTGCATCTGGCCAACCATAATCATATCCACTTTTCGCTTTTTTCCCCTTGTCATTTGCTCCACAACTTTGAGGTCTGTTTCATATGGATTGAATTACATATTTTGGAAAGAGTATTATTTTTCACATAAGATGACTTCCATTAACTGCCGTAGACTGAAAACAGATGAAGGTCTTTTTTTTGTACAAGAATGGAAAACATATTTATATGTCGGTATATGGGCCGAATGATTGCGGTGGTTTTGACGTGCTTTGTGCTGAGTGGTAGTGGATGATATCGTCCTTGTTCTGTGGTATTTTGGTTGTTTTATCAGTAGTTCCTGTTCAGTAGGCCCACTGCAAGCTTGATTGCGGTTGTCCTGACGCCTCATACGCCCTTGTCCGCCATTGAAAGGGTCTCGCTCCACCAGGAGCGCCCTCCTCCTAATGAGGGTCAAAGGTCAGCATGTTGAGCGCCTAGAGGAGCCAGGATCTCCCAGGCACACTCAGTCACTGACTCCGGCCCTATATTTAAATCAGCCCTCTAGCACTCTGCTAGCTGTCTCAGAGGCCATCTCTTAACTAGTTCCTGGTTGCTAATTAGTTTTTGCGCCATGCTATTTGTCTCTCTGAGCCTGCATGGGGGGAGAAGGGGGGCCAAACGGAGCTGGCCTAAAAAAAGATGCTGTATATGTGCAACTTATTCGCTAACATGTCACATACAATTCACATGCAGCGCTAGCAAAGATCCAGATCCTGCATCTGGAGTAGAGTGAGTATTAGGCCAGTTTCCCACACATGGATTAAGCCTAGTCTTGGACTACTCTGAAAAAAAAACAAAAAAACATGGTGCTTTGAATTTACATGACTCAAATGTGTCAAGCAGTTGCACATGAATGCATCGTCACAAATCTTGCCAAGATAGTTCACTGAAAGACTACAATAGTGTTCAACCCTTTCTAGTTTTGGCTTAAAGGGGATTTTCACTTGTTTTTCAAATTTTCTCTGTAAATTTACCTTTAAGACATAAACAAATTAATTCAGAGTGGCTTGATGTGGAATGCGGTGTTCTAGAGAAACATGCTGTGTCAGAATTGGTCACAGTTTTAGTGATAGGGACCAGGTGTCCTCACAATTTCATGTTTCTAAAAGCTCCCTCACTGAAAGCTATCGCAATAAATGGTTAAGGAAAAAATTATCGTTTTACAATATATGATGTTCTGAGATAATATTCTGGCCTAAAACCTTTTTTTAAATCCGTTTAATTTCAGATTTACTATTATTTTTCCATTCTCATCATTACATATAAAACTCAGAAGACACATGTAGGTCATTTTGTATATAAAATAAATAAAATGTCTATATTTGAGTTGTAAGCATCACAACTCCTGGTTCCTATGACAAAATCTGTGTTAGTAAGTTTCTCTTATCTATGCCATTTCATTTACAAACACTCTGACTGATTTTTACATCTCAACGCTGAATCATGCAGAAATTTAGAAAAATGGTATGGTGTGGAATTTCACTTTAAACTTAATCTGAGCTCTAGAATAAAAAAGCATTTTCTCTCTTTTTTGGCATTTCTTTTTGGTTCAAGGATCTATACTAGTGCTGTGCCGCAACAACTGGTCAGTAAATGTTGTTAGTGAAATTAGATTAGCACGTTGAACTGGCCTTTTTTTCTTCCTTTTTTTTTACCTAAGCTGCTTTTAAGAGTAGTAACAGTGCACACTCTCGCCGGTAACTGCACAGCACAAAGCACTCACGAGTCAAATAGTTATTGGATTACATTTTCTGGCTTCATAAAATGCGGTTAAGAGGCACTTTAGGCGTATGCGGCTGACCTGCTTTCGGGGAGATGGCCATCAGACGAGAAGTGACAGGTCAATCACTGATTTCAGCCAGACTGTCAGAGACGCACACTGTGGCCTTTCCTCTCTCCGTGCATACTCGCAGAGGGAGAAGAGGAATGCACAGACACATCCAGAGGAGGACGAGAGAATGCAGCACAACGGTGTGCATGTGTGTATGTGTGTGTGTGTGTGTGTGTGTGTGTGTTTGAGTCTGTACTTCAACAAAGACTCTAAGGAGATATTCAGCAATTAGACCTCTAAATGGCCTCTGTCATGAGAAAACCGTGTAAGTCACTCTGAAAGAGTAACTTTATAGGAGAAAACTTGTTCTTTACTGTAATGTACATGAATGTAAGATTTTATTGCAAGTCACTTTTGAGCATTTCTATTGATTCTTTCATCATGCAAATGCAAACAAGAAGTTTCAGGTTTGTGCCACAAACAGGATTTTTGTGTCATCTGACCACAAAACCTTGTTCCGCATTTTAGCTGTGTCACTTTTCTGTTAAACTCTACATGTGCTTTGATGTGGTTTTGTGGTTTTTCTTCAGTAATGGCTTCTTTTTTACACCTTCCCGTACATATAACTGGTGCACCTTCACTTCAGTCTCAGCCACTGAATTGTGTATCTCCGTCAGCGTGATTGTTGACTTCTTTGTGGCTTCCCTCAGAAGTTCCCTTCTTGCTCTGATGCTGAGTTTTGAGGGTCAGCCTTGTCTAGGCAGTGCCTGGGTGGCATGATGCAGTTTCCATTCCCTTACAACTGATCCAACAGAGCTCACTGGGAAATTGAAACAGTTGGATATTATTTTGTGGCCTTTTCCTTTTTCCTGTGCATGTCTATAACTTCCTTTATCTTCCTTGGTCTTTATTTTCATTTTCCTTCAGTGGTACCTGAATTAAGGGGGTCTTTTATCCGGAAAACATTAACTACTTTAATGATTTACAAGTAGAGGCCAGTTGTAAGCATTTGTATCCTCGTTAGAGCAATATCCTTCACCTGTGTAAACTAGGAGCCTCTACAGCCAGGGGTTGAAAAAGGCAAACAGTATTTTTCAGTCAGTAATTTTTCTTACAGAATATTTTCTTTGTAAGAATTTCACTTTAAACTAATTCATTTTGAGAGTCAGTCTTTTGAATTAAAATATAACACAGCACAAAATATCAAAGTGTCATTTGTAATCCAGACAAATCTGAGGACTTTCAAGGGGTCTGAAATCTTAACATTAAGTGTGTGTTTGTCAGCAAAACCTCAATATAACATCAGAATTATTACAAATAAACATAAATATAGAAAACAAGCAACACGATTTTTTTATGTTTTAAAAATGTTATTGACATCTTGGTTAGAGGAACACAGTTAGAAGAGCACGGATTTTGTTTCTGACCAACACCAGCACAGTACAGTCATAAGGAAGAGTTTGAATAACCCTGACTGAATTATATGATTTCTTGATTTTCTAAGAGAAAATAAGTTAACACATCCTCTACAGTGAATTAGACTTAAATGTGGCATTTTTTTCTACCAGTTTTTGTGCAGAATTTCTATTTATTTGCGCTCTATATTTTTGAGTTTTGTCATATTTTTATTTTTACTCCATGGACCTGGCTCATAACTAATTAACTAACTTGTTAGCTGGCTCGCTCACTTGCTCACTCACTCACTGACTCAATCATCAGCAGTGCCTTGCATCAGTGACACTGTGTGTCATAGTTTTCCTATACAGAAAAAAACTGTTCTCTGTAGAGGTTGTGTGATCTCATTTACAATTAGAAAATCAACAAGATATGTGATGTGACTGGGGTGTACAAACTTTTGCACAAGACTGCACTGATTAGCTGCACTAAGGACTGGATGGCATCTGTAAATACTAGACTTCTTCAAAAAGAGGTTTGGAAATGGTTAAGCAAACACACACAAATCAAACCACAATATATTTTGTATTTATTTGTATTTATTCTAAGAGTGTTTTTTAAACATTTGCACGCCTACTGCCAGGTTAAACAGCGTTACACATAATTTTAAATGGCCCAGTACTGAACATGGTACACTCAAATTGCTTGACCAAATGCTGGTAGTTTTACACATGAACACATTAAGATGTTAAAAGTCTATAACTTTCTGTGTGCTTCATGCACAGTGTAGAAGTCATATACTATTCCTGGATGTGCAGTAAAAAATACATTTATTCGAAAGGGAGGAGAACAAAAACTGGATCTCCCAGCATGGGATAAGCAGACTATAAAATGAAGACAAATCCTTTGACGGTCTTTGTCACTTTGGAAAAAATGCTCCTTTTGATCATCATAATCTTGCTGTGGATTTGAGTGCTCTGTTTGGGAATAGTTTAGGCATGATGGCCAGGCAGATCCGCTGGTTTCAATTTCATGTGGAAAACAATAGGCTGGTCCAGTGAGTGCATGTGTGTGTCTGTGTGTGTGTGTGTGTGTGTGTGTGTGTGTGTGTGTGTGTGCGAGATCTGGCTATGTGTGCAACTGTTTTGGAAAAGCATGGTGGGATTTGTGGCGGTCTCAGAATCAGAGAGCCAGTGTTTATGGAAAGGCCGCTGCATAAACAGGGTTTAGCGAGACTTTCAGCCTATCCGGCATCAAAAGATGCAAAGCCCATAAAGCAGTATTAACTGTTGGGACAACTGATGGCTGTGTTGGCAGACTGCAATCGTAGTCTAAACAGTGCAGCGTTAAAACAGAGACACACACACAATCAAAAAGGGGTTCACTCTCATTTTATTCTGCTTATACACGTTCATACTGGGAGGTCCTGATAATTACCCCCATTATTTAAACATACGGGGAGGCTCCTTTTTTAATCTCTTGCCTATCCTTGTCTCATGGAGATGCATTGCTCTTAAGAAACTTTCCTATTGTAGCAATAAAAGCTGTGCCGCTAGGTAAGACGCAGTGTTTCTACATCAATTCCCCACGATGTTTCAGAGTTTCAAAGTTGGGAAAGTTTGGGGCTAGTTTCATGCCCTCATTAACCCCTCACACTGCAAGTGTATTATTAAGTTATTAATCTTACTACTCATTGTTCAGTAACTACTATACAACTAAGATGTATTACTGTATGTCGTTATTAGAAAAGGTTTAAGGGGTTTCCCTTAGAAATTACAGTTATCGCTCGCTATTATAAAATTATGGTGTAATTATTTATCAGTTTTATACTTAATTATTTTTCACTTGTGGTTCAGTGAAACAAGGAGAGAAATCTGGTCAGAAGCGCAGATTCTAAGCTTCTAGTCCATACTACATTTATGTTTATAAGTACAAGTGGAGATATTTTATTATAATAATTATTGATGTGTGTGTGTGTACAGTCTTGATTTTTTCAGTATGAAAGAACATCATTTACATTTCTGTCATGTTTTTGTAATTTTGTGACATCAAAGCAAACATAAAAAAGTCAGAAGAACAGACTCAAAGCTGTCACTACAGAATGTAAATTGAATTTAAACATAATTAACTGTGTAACTCACAATATAATCAAAAAGGTATGTAATTACATGTCAATAGTATATTAAGTATTAACTGAACTTCCAAAGATTAAAGGGAAATTTAACTGATTTGAAAAAAAAAAAATCTGCTTGATTGGATCTATAAATTGTAAGAAGTCATTGAGATTGGTCTGATGTGAAATGCATCATTCTGGAGAAACTTATTGAGCTTGAATTGTTTACGGGGAGTGATAGGAACCAGATGTCAGCAGCTTTTAGTGCCTCTAAAACTTCCCTCACCAAAAGCCATTACATAAAATTGTCATGAATGTGCTACTTGATGCATGCAATATTGTTTTCCTTGAGATTGGCCTAAAACATAATTTTTTTTTTTTAATCTATTAATTGGGAGAGGTACATGCAGGGTGCTGTAAGGCAACATATAACATACAGATTTTTTTTTTTTTTTCAGATTTACCACTATTTTATCATTAGAAGCATTTTATCATTACAAAACAAAATATACATGTTGGTTCACTGGTTGTTTTGAATAGTGAATAAAATTGCTGTGTTTGCCCCCTGGTTCCTATCACCACAACCGCAAAGAAATTAATAAGTTTCTTCACAACTAGCTGTTTCACATCAAACCACTCGCAATGACTTTGTTTACATCTCAAAGGCTGAATTTTGCAGAACATTTGACAAATTGTTGCAATTCCCCTTTAAGACTTACGATCCTCTGAACTATTATGAAATATTCAGAAACTACTATAAAACATGTAAGATATATAGTGATAAGAGTGAGAAAATAAGGGGTTAAGGACGACTCTTTTCCCTTCCTGAGGTTGGAATCCATTTGTATTTGCGCCCAGCGCACAGTTTAATTAAACAGAACTAACTATGGGACCTATCGGCTGCAGTTAATCATTGCAGCAGGCTATTGATGGCAGGGGTGCAGCCGTGATGGACGATAGCATGTGTGTATTCATCACTTGGCCTGCTCACACTGGGTCTGGCCTCTAAGTCATGGGGTGAGAACAGAACCCCCTACCACCTCCACCTCAGGACCCCATGCAGCAGCAGGCCATCCACACTGCCCCGGCTGCAAGATAAAAGACACCCACACACACCTCCAACCACTCGGAGAGCACGCGCCCCACCAGCCTCTCTGAAGCCTTAATTAAAGAAGAAAAATTGCAGGAGTGCAAAAAAACCCTGTAAGCTCACTTTCTTCCCGCCCTGATGAGACCAAACATTGCTCAGAAACTACACGGCTAAGTGTTGCTCCTCGACCAAGTGTGCTACTTTAGACATGAATAAAGCAACATCAGCATGCACTGCCCATCACAAGTTTGGGGACAAGTTTGTTTCCTATTGGATTGTTCCCATTAATGTTTGATTTTTACTTATTTCCCATTAAATAAGAATTGTGGTGGCAAACGGGGTGCAAATGTTAATATGCAATTCAAGTACAAAACATAGTCTGTTATAATGAACAACATCAGTAACACCACTGACCATAACACTACTGATGAAATTACTAACATTTGAGCTTTTCTAAAATATTGTCCACTGCTATTTTAGTTTTAAACTGACACTGAATGCAGAAAATTACAAATATTGCCTTTATGTTAGTATTTTATTTAAATTTAAGGATCACTTACTCTTTCACGAGTTACACCACTGACACAGTGTTTTTGCAACACGTGAAGCCATCTGTATTTTAACTGTACATAAATGGAAAGATTTAAAGCCATTTAGGAATATAAAGATTTCTCTCACCATAGACCTATGGTTCTTCTCCTTTCTTCCATTGAGATATCCATATGTTTTTTTTTTTTTTTTAATAGTTGTAAGCCCTTTAGTATGTGACACCACTGGCAAATAATATTAAAATAAAAAATAAAAAAATAAATTAAATTTATCCATTAAATCATTTAATCCTTTTATTTTTACAGTTTAAACTGAAAAACAGTCATCAAAATTGTTGTTTCATATAAAATGTGTACTTCAGCAACAGTGAATGCATGACTAAAAATTATGAAAATAAAAGTTCACACAGAGGGATTATCAAAGTTTTGTGTTGGTTAATTTAGGAATATAGCTAGAAATACATTGACTTTCTATGGTTTATTGTTTTTTTTTGTCATTTTGATGGTTTTAAAATTGTGGGATACAATTTGCCACTGCAGTGGTAGAATCTATGTGCAAAAGTTTAAATATGTAAAACGACTCTTTTCTAATATACTCAGTGCAATTAGCTTCAGCAGTGCTTCAGATTTATCACAGCATCTTCCTTGGTATGAAGGCCAGGCTTTACCTAAAATAATGATTTGACCCTTTTTTTGAAACTATTGTTTCAAACACATATGGTCCAGAGGTTGTACAAACAGCTTAAAGAACGAGTGCTGATGAACAAGGGGATAAAATGGTATTGTTCTCAGGGCAGCACTGTCACTAACACTCAAATATGTGAAATCGTTGTCCTCAAAATAAACCTGCTTGGTCTATAATATGTTAAGTTACTCCAAGCCAACAAAGCAAACACTCATTTGTATTAAAACATTTTTAAAAGCTTGGTGTCCCCAGACATTTGAGCGTACATTCAGAGATGTAGTACGTGGTCAGCACAAGTGTGTATATATACCTTTCTGACCCAGGTGAGCAGGCAGCTGTGGTGGGCCATGAGGTTTTTGCAGTCACAAAATCTCCTCAGCGGTTCTCCATCTACCAGCTGCACGTCTCTGCAGATAAAGCATTCCGGCATTTCTGCTAACACAGAAATAAATAAATGAGTAAAAACACGAATGCCTGTACAAGATTAGTTAGAGAAGCATTATCTATAAACAATATATACTCTCTGGCCACTTTATTAGAAACCCCTTCCTTGTAGCTCCACATTGCAGGTATACTGTATCTGTTGATCCACAATTTGTGCTGGCCATTGCCCTTCATCAGTGGTCATGTTTATGACCACAGAGTCATGGACAGATAATTTTGGGTGGTGGATCACACTTAACCTAGCAGTGACAATTACTTGTAAAAACCACAGCAAAGTGACTGTGCCTGCACCACACACACTACCATACACTACCACATCAGCATCACTGCTGTGCTTGAATAATCCACCACCCAAATAATATCTGATCAACAGTGATTCTGTGGTCAAAAATGTGATGAAAAGGATCTAAGAAGGCTGAAAAATTGTGCATGTCAATGTTACATGCCAAAAGAATGTGAACACCCCTTCTAATTGATGGGTTTAGCAATATTAGCCACACTCATTTCTAAGATGGGTTGTACTGAAGAGCTCAGGACTTGCAATGTTGTACTGTCATACACTGTTAGAAATAAAGGTTCTGTGCAGGTATATTTTTCATTTATCAAGGTACAAACAATGTAAATGTTCCCTCAAAAGTACAACAGTGGTTTTAAGGTCCAATTGTGTACTTTTAATGTTTTTCCAGATGAAAAGTACGTATTGTACCTTTTTATAACCTAATTTTTTAAAACAGAACAATAAAATAAAAAGCCTGGAGATGAGAAAGGGTGTGTGGAGTCAGTATAACTTAAAAATATAATTTCAGTGGATTATGGTACAATTATGTTCCCTTACTAAAGGTACTGAGATGTACCCTTGAAGGTACCACCCCAGTGACAAGAGGGGTACTGCCCCAGTGACGGTTTCATACCTTTATTTCTGAGAGTGTTGGATCAAGGTCACCAAGTTTTTGCCCTGCTAGAGCTGCCCTGATCAGCTGTAAGTATCATTAATGTGCAGTGGAAATGTCTGGGGGCAGCATATGCTAAGCTGAGAAGTAGTAGGCCACACAATCTTACAGAACGGGACCACCATGTGCTGAAGCACACAGCACATAAAAATCATCTGTCCTCCGTTGCAGTACTCACTACTGAGTTTCAAAATGCCTCTGTAAGTGACTGTTTAGTGGAGTTTTCATATATTTAGTTTACTATGTGCAATATAAGCACTGACTAGAGTGCTGCAAAGCACACCACCTTTGGATTTTGGAGCAGTGGAAATGTGTTCTTTTGGGATCTAAATCATGCTTCATTGTCAGGCAGTCTGACAGATGAATCTGGGTTTAGTGAATGCCAAGACAACCTCATTTGCCTGAAAACATAGTGTTAACTATAAAGTTTGGTGGAGGTGGAATCAAGGACTAGGGTTGTTTATCACGATTTGGGACCCTTAGTTCATGTGAAGGGAAATCTTATGCTACAGCATACCATGACATTATGGACAACTGGGCAACAGTTTGGGGAAGGCCCTTTCTGCCTTTTGTTGAGAGTGTTTTGTTTTGTTGAGTTTAGTGTGGAATAACCTGACTGGCCAGTTTCGAGGCCATATCTCTATCCTATTCAACACTTAGGATGAACCGAAACACTCCATTTGTCCAACATCAGTTCCTGACTTCAAAAATCTAATGGAAAGCCTTTTCAGAAGAGTGGAGGCAGTTACTACAGTAAAGCAGGGACCAGCTCTACATTAACGCCATTGATTTTAGAATAAAATGCTCAACCAGCATATAATGTTGGTGTCCACATGCTTCAGGCCTTGTAGTGTAGGTGTGCCATTATAAAGTGGCATAATAAAGTAGTTAGGGGTCCCAAACAGTCCAGCTATTTCAAACAGGAACAAGTTGTAGTTGCATTTGTGCTTGATGCCTACAACAGTCTGTCATCACATTGTGTTCAACACTGATGACAGCAGAAGCTATGAGACGACTGCAGCACTGACAAAAGAAGGAGCTGAAAGTGATTCTCATTATTCGATGCTGTGGCAGTCTCTAGTGTCTGTCCATTATTGGGTTAATGCAGGCATAATTTGCGCAACATTAACCATGCGCTGTGCAATTATTTGATTAGGGCATGCAGAGAGAGATGTGGGAGTAAATCTTCTATGCCTTGCCTTGTGCAGGCTGCTTATTACCTTGTCAATTTGTCATTTTGTCACGCCTAACAGCAATTGACGGGAATCTGTTTTTGTCAAGTCATTAATACGCTCATTCACTTGAGGTGCTGCCTTAGATAGGATCTAAACGGAAAATTATATGGAACTGCCATAAACAGAGAACACATTAGCTATCTGCGGCAAAAATAAGCAATTACATCAGGCAATGACTGCCCTTTAATGAACACTTAATCAACCATTAACACCTAAGTGCTTTCAGGGAAGGAAAAAAAAATCATTATCTCAGTTTAATTTGCTGCGCAAATATTATGGACTATAAGAAGAATTAGTATTGGAGCTCCAAAATAAGTCATCCATTTAAAGCTCCAGAAGAAGAGCTCCAATAATTACCGCTAAGTGAGCAAAGGGTTAATGACTGCCAAACCTTGCCCTCAAATAAACATTCATATGGCTGCATTCATATGGGCTCAATATATCTGAGAGACAAACACATCAAACACAGATCAATTTCAAAGTCAGCAGTTTCATTCTTAGCTCATCGTTAATGTGCAGTTTTCATCTTATACTTACTTTACTCTCTAATTACACACATCAATATATGAATACAAAACATTTTTCATACATTTGCCTGTCAGAACTTTTCTAAATGTGTTTTCACACAAATGAGACTGTTTTCTTTGTCAGTTTGCAATAACTTAACATGTGAAAGACTAGGATTAAAGAAAAAAACATTTAAATATATTTAGCAGTATTAGTGATGGTGCTATAAAAAAATCCAGTCATTTTATCTCCTGGTTAGGATGTCAGCATTCATTAGCATTGAAACCTTTTAACTGTTCAAACCATTTTGGGCCCAAAGAATTTCAATATGTGTTGCTAACAATAGGTTGGAAAAGTAAAGTGTCTAATCAATATTTATGTTTAAAAAATGTCCTTTAGACCAAGAAAGACATTTTGTTGAACTTGATTGAAGCTAAACAAGCCTAATTTTGCTGGAACACCATCAGCTGTGTGGTATTTGTCATGCAATTGTCTATGGTACAGTATATTAAAAAAATAAATAAAACAAAAAAACTTGCATTATGTTCAGGGTGGTCCACCTGCTCACAGTGTCTACTGAATGCTCAAATTTTTCCAGCCAGAACTTTTTTTATCAAAGTATTGGTATATATTACTAGTACTCATAACAACAACAACAACAACAACAACTATTTTTATTACTTTTGATTCTAATATTTTTTTAGAAGTAGTAGTAAAAAGGATAAAAAGACAAATAATTTGAATAATTAGGATGTTTAATATAATAAATATCTGAAGTAATCCAAGTTACCTTCCATTTAATCAGTGGAATATTGGGGGACTCTTATTATGATAGCAGTGGTATTCCTGCCTGAAAATGGAAGTTATCCATAATGCATTCCTGTGTTGGCAATAGACACTAGAGCCCAGTTTAATTTTGGGCTCTGTGGCCCTCACCCACTTCCACAGATCCACAGATGTGCATCACACCTGAGACATTATAAAGGAGGAGACAGGTCACTGTTTAGAAAATTAATAGACAACCCATAACGCTCAACATGGTGTCTGTTTACGGGGAAAGACCCACCCTTTACAAAAAAGAGCCAATGGCTTGATAATAAAGCTGCAAGTGGGAAACGCCCCCCTCAGTTGTGGAGATCTCTGCATGGGCCAAAACAACTCAAAAAACACTTTTTGTAAGTTATTTGAGCCAAGTGCAAAAGTATCAAGTTTTTGTCAGATTTTACCAGTGATTTCAAATGTGTTTTTGAAACAGTAATTTGGTTTTCAGTTTCCAATTTTTCAGTCTCTCTCCCTTGAAAGAGATAAGTGTCTGGTCTTGTTTGACTGGAAATAGGCTAACTGCCTGGCAGTGTTGCAAGATGGCTACCAAGTGGATAGACTTTCTTAAGAGGATACTCATGTTGCACAAGGGGTTACAGAAGGCAGAAGGAGAGTAGGGGACAATGAGAAGTGGATTATTTAAACAGCACACACTCACCCTCAGCAGGTTAGCCTCAGGGAGATAATCAGCTAACCATGCAAACTTTTCAATGTAATTATTTTTTTGAGAACTTTGAGCACAATGTATATACATTAATGTGAGTAATTGCTTTGTCTGACTCTAAACTCGTAGAGTTGTAGCGTATCACCTTTCTTTTTGTTGTTGTTAGCCATGTAGCCTTTAGCATACTAACTAGCCCGTTGGCAGCGTAAAGTGATACAGTTGGATCAGCAGTTATGTATAACAGTATAGTTTGTAACCTAAAGCTGAACACAGCAAATGTTATGCATTTCAAAGTAATTTACTAAACAGTTTTGGTCACTGTTATTTTTGTGTTTGAAAAGGAAACCTTAGCTGCCAAAGTTGACATTTGCATTCACTCAATCCCTCGCCCTTCCAAGGGCTTTTATAACACCCTTCACTAGAACTAATAATGTAATGAAATGGCCCTTAAAATGGTCATGTTTGAAAGAGGATGAAAAATACAACCAAAGACCACTCATTCTGTAGCTGCTAGCAAACATGCTAACAATGCTAGAATTATGGCTTCTGAGCTAGCTAATGTTACATGGGCAAACTCCAGCAATCAACACATCAAAATTTGATTCCAGTTTATATTCTAGTGTACTTAATGGTCATGTACTAGTGCTTGAAAACTTTATCCTCAGCTGGAAGAGTGAAATAGGCTAAATAATATCGCAAGGTGAGAACTTCCAACTGACAGACAAAGCCCCTGCTCAAACATACAGTAGTCACTGCTGGGATAATACAAATGAATATGAGGCCCCTAGTATATGGAGGATAATATGCTCAAAG